TACGTAACCACTCAGCCACCAGGAATTCTTTTTAATAGAACCCAGTATAATGTAAAACATATCTTTTATGTGTACTGGGAAGCCAAAATGCACATGATGACTGCTTTATTGCTGTGGTCTGGAGCTGAACCCATGATTTCTTCAAGATATGCCTATAATTACTTTCTGTAGCCTGATGTGCCACTGTTGCTTTTTCAGAGGCGAGGAAGATGACTCTTTGGCTATCAAGCCACCCCAGCAAATGTCCCGGAAAGAAAAAGCTCATCACAGGAAAGATGAAAAGCGAAAAGAGAAACGTAGGCATCGTAGTCATTCGACAGAAGGGGGTACAGACGTATTTGTTTTCTTTTATATTACGTTCAAGTGTTGATTTTGTTGATGGCACGATAAAGTACTGCCTTTTCCCAAAACCTAGTTTAGAGACAAGAGACTGAAAAAAGTGCTCTCAAAACAAAACCTTAGTATAGATCATCCTGAATCTTTTCCTTCCCTTCGGGTGGTATGGTTGTCCTCCATTGTAGTGCCTGGGGATAATTTATTTAACATAACATTTACCTTAATTCAATAAGCCTGAGGAAAATACACCCTTGGACGCTTTAGCTTAAAACAGGTAAACACCAACTAAAAATAATTGGCTTGCTTTAGCAAGAATTAAATCCTATTGTTAATAAGTTCAGTTGATTAAATAACATTGTTTTATGGTGTAGAAGCCCACTAAAAGAACCACAGCTTCATTCTGTATTCTCTATGAAGTGTGATTTTTTTTCTTTTAATCATTTTATCGGGGGCTTGTACAACTCTTATCACAATCCATACACACATCCATTGTGTCAAGCACATTTGTACATAAGTTACCATCATCATTTTCAAAACATTGTCTTTCTATTGAACCCTTGGTATCAGCTCCTCAATTTTCCCCTCACGAGCCCTTGATAATTAAAATTATTGTTATTTATTCATGTCTTACACCGATGTCTCCCTTCACCCACTTTTCTGTTGTCTGTCCCCCAGGGAGGGGGTTACCATATATACTCGAGTATAAACCGAGTTTTAAAGCACATTTTAAATGCCGTTTTTGTGGTAAAATTAGGTTCCTCGGCAGATATTCAGGTTGGCTTATACTCGAGCATGTACAGTATACATAGGTCATTGTGATTGGTTCCCTCTTTTTCTCCCCTTACCCTCTTGGTATCGCTACTCATTTTTGGTTCTGAGGGGTTTATCTGTCCTGGATTCCCTGTGTTTCCAGCTCTTATCTGTACCCATGTACATGCTCTGGTCCAGTCAGATTTGCAAGGTAGAATTGGGGTCATGATAGCTGTGGGGAGGAAACATTAAAGAACTAGAGGAAAGTTGTATGTTTCATTTGTGCTATACTACACCCTGACTAGCTTGTCTCTTCCTTGTCATCCTCTGTAAGGGGATGTCCAATTGTCTACAGAGGGGCTTTG